TCTCTGCTTTGGAGTAAAAAAATGCTGGAAAACCAGTTCGATTAAAGGGCAAATTTAGGTTTTTTAACTGAGAAGTGCTACATTACACTGAAAAGCAATTGGGCAATTTTTTTTTTCACTGACGAGTGGTGCCTAAAATTTTGGGTATATTAAGTTAGCATGATGCTGCGGTATTGCGACCAGAACCACTAGAAGAGCAAGAAAAGACACTGAATTTGGTGGAAGTGTTTGTTTTAGAAAAGTAGGTTTTAAGAAAATTACCTAAAAGCTAGAGTAAGAGAACTAAGCTGCTCTAAAAGGATGATATATGGGGCGTTAAAATATGTCGGATTTAAGCGGTTTTTTGAGTGCGTGAGCTAAAAAAATTTTCAAAACACATCCGAAAAGTCGGCCTTACTCAATTGGAAACCGATGAATATTGTACTCACTCGAAACAAAAATTGGTCGCTCTAGTGACGTCTGAGAAAATGAAACATAGGCATATTGGATATGAATGAAAGAAGTGGTACTTTGCTAGACTCAGTGAAGCTGAGGGCTTGTCACTGGTACTACGGAAATTAAATGGAGGCGAAAAGTTACCGGACATCATGGCTTCAGCTAGCTTTACTCTACAGCTAACTTTCTAGGAAGAGGGAAGACACTTCACTTTAGCACGCTCTGGACAAGGTGGCCTCTCCCATCTTCCTTTTCCTTTCCCTCACCTTCCTCCCTTCAGGTTCTGCTTTCTCAAATTATTTCTCCACCATTTTTTGCACTCATTCAACTCATTTCGCCCTCCGTTAGTGGAATTTTGCACTTTTTTGCTAAATTTGTGCCCTCCCAACAAAAGTTTGCTTCGCGTATCAAAACTACCGTAGTCCTTTTTCATTTGAAATTTTTGCTGACTGTGTTTGTTACATTTTCTGTTCCTTCTCCAACTCCCTACATAATGTTTTTTAGATGCATTTTTTCGCCTCTCAGCCTAACCGCTTATGCTTCTTCGGTAAGCCCACTCTCTCACCACTTCTTTCTCTCCTGTTTGTTTTATATAGATACATAGCACCGCCCTACATCGATAGGCATTGGGTACCAACTGGATATATGCAGTTCGGGACCACAGGACTTGTCGTAGTTGCTTTCATAGGTGGGTCCGGGACGAACTCCTTGGGGAGGGGTCGACGACGGGTGGGAAGAGAGTGGAGCCCTTCCCACCCTGGAACTGTGCAAAAGTTAGGAGTAGAGTAGTAACACTGCTACTTAAAGTTACTTTAGTTTAAAGTTTAAGCTTTAGTTTAGTTTTAGCTTTAGATTCGGGCTACTTTAAGCATCACTGATGCTGTGCCGCAATGCTGCAAGAGCCCGAATCAAAAGCTTCCCCTCCTCCCCCTTCTCCCTCTCCCTTGCATCCGCCTATGGCTACTTCCTAGGTGTGGGGCTACTTAGGTGTAGAACATCATCACTAAAGTGGGATCACCACACTGCCTTTTTATGGTATTCTTGATTAGCATCATCGGTTTCCTTGCTTCCGCTCTTTTAACTTAATTTCTAGCATTTTCCACCCCACGGGAAGCATTTTGCCCTTGTTTTCCCGGGATTCCTGGATTGTAGAGGGATGGAAGAGCTCAACAGCCGTAGTTATTTGCGGCCATGCGTGTGCATGTACGTGTGTGATCCGTTGTCGTTGTTCAGGCAAAAATGCTGAAGAAAGCGAAGAAATCGCGTCGTAGCGCTGCATGCGTATCATCGGGCCCGAATGCTGGTGGAGCAGCAGTTCGGGCGGTGCAAAGCGAAGGCTCACCATCCTCCTCACGGGTGCATCCATCCATGCTGCTGGATACTGGTGAATCCGGGGTGATGCTGATGCACGGCAAGAGTACACCGGACGAGCTGCATACTTTTTCGGCTTCCGCTTCGGCGAACGGCGGTGGCGCTGCTGATGGTGACGATGATGATGAAGAAGGCGATGCTTTTTTGTGAATTTTATGTCTAACTATTTCAAGAAGTGTTATATCCTGAAACAACAGGCTGCTAAGGTGAGATGACCCAGGATCAAAGGACTTGGCATATTTTTTGCAAAAGCGGGAAGGAGGCGCAAACAGAGGTAGGGGAGGGGCGAGGGCTGTCCCAACCGCAGAAGTTGCATACCCTACACTGGTTGTCTGTTTTAGTTACTATGGTTAACAAAGCTTTTTTTAAAGGCAAACGTGCTTATGTTCTCGCTTGTATTATCTAAGATGTTTTTGCTTGAACGTGACATTTAGAACTAATCCTTCTGTTCTACTGTTTAGTATACCACTTTTTACTTCTTGATGCGTCTAGTACAATACAGCTGCAGAATTGCGCACTTTCTATTGCATTTTACCTTTCGGCTGAACGCAGCTTAGTTTGCGGTAAATTACAGTTTCCGGCACAAACAGGTCTGTGTATAATATTTCTGTTTTTCTGTTTCATGGATAATAAGGCATTACAATAATTCTAAGGTCCAATGATTGAAGCCTTATTTTGAGGAGAGGCAGAAAGATTTTTGTAAAAAAATTTTGCAAAAATATTCCTTGAAATTTCTTAGCTCTAAATAGCTTTTCAAAGGGTTTTTTTAATTGGTTTTTGGGAGTGTTTCTCATATCTACTACTGTTAGGTTGTTT